ACCAAAGAGCCAGAGCTCAACCACCGCAAGCACAAATAGGTGAGTACACACGAGCACTGGGTCTCACACTCAACACACACTTGAGCATCAAAACCCACTCCAACTTGTGTAAGGAATCATTCAAGGACTTCCCACACCCGGAACAACACAGTAGATGTGACATGGGACCAAAGAGCCAGAGCTCAACCTCCGCAAGCACAACTAGGTGAATACGTGTGTCAGGCTAACCCTAGTGCGCTGCTCCACTGTGGAGTGCACACCTAGACTGGTCCCGGAGCTAAAAGGTGCGAGTTACGAAGAGACTTAAACCCCCACATCCCTGGAAGACAGAAGAGTTAAGGTAGACATGATTACCACCTACAAAATTCTCAATGGGTTATTCTGCCGTGTCAGGGTAGTGAAATAGGTGAAAAGAGCTCATGGGTCACCTTAGACAGGTGAGAACACCTCGTGGGTCACCTTAGACAGGTGAGAACACCTCGTGGGTCACCTTAGACAGGTCAGAACACCTCGTGGGTCACCTTAGACAGGTCAGAACACCTCGTGGGTCATCTTAGACAGGCCAGAACACCTCGTGGGTCACCTTAGACAGGAACACCTCGTGGGTCATCTTAGACAGGAACACCTCGTGGGTCACCTTAGACAGGAACACCTCGTGGGTCATCTTAGACAGGTCAGAACACCTCGTGGGTCACATTAGACAGGAACACCTCGTGGGTCACCTTAGACAGGAACACCTCGTGGGTCACCTTAGACAGGTCAGAACACCTCGTGGGTCACCTTAGACAGGTCAGAACACCTCGTGGGTCATCTTAGACAGGCCAGAACACCTCGTGGGTCACCTTAGACAGGAACACCTCGTGGGTCATCTTAGACAGGTCAGAACACCTCGTGGGTCACCTTAGACAGGTCAGAACACCTCGTGGGTCACCTTAGACAGGTCAGAACACCTCGTGGGTCACCTTAGACAGGTCAGAACACCTCGTGGGTCACCTTAGGCCAGAACACCTCGTGGGTCACTTTAGACAGGCCAGAACACCTCGTGGGTCACCATAGACAGGTCAGAACACCTCGTGGGTCACTTTAGACAGGCCAGAACACCTCGTGGGTCACCTTAGACAGGCCAGAACACCTCGTGGGTCACCTTAGACAGGCCAGAACACCTCGTGGGTCACCTTAGACAGGTCAGAACACCTCGTGGGTCACCTTAGACAGGTCAGAACACCTCGTGGGTCACCTTAGACAGGAACACCTCGTGGGTCACCTTAGACAGGAACACCTCGTGGGTCACCTTAGACAGGTGAGAACACCTCGTGGGTCACCTTAGACAGGCCAGAACACCTCGTGGGTCACCTTAGACAGGTCAGAACACCTCGTGGGTCACCTTAGACAGGTCAGAACACCTCGTGGGTCATCTTAGACAGGCCAGAACACCTCGTGGGTCACCTTAGACAGGAACACCTCGTGGGTCATCTTAGACAGGTCAGAACACCTCGTGGGTCACCTTAGACAGGAACACCTCGTGGGTCACCTTAGACAGGAACACCTCGTGGGTCACCTTAGACAGGAACACCTCGTGGGTCACCTTAGACAAGAACACCTCGTGGGTCACCTTAGACAGGAACACCTCGTGGGTCACCTTAGACAGGAACACCTCGTGGGTCACCTTAGACAGGAACACCTCGTGGGTCACCTTAGACAGGAACACCTCGTGGGTCACCTTAGACAGGAACACCTCGTGGGTCACCTTAGACAGGTCAGAACACCTCGTGGGTAACCTTAGACAGGTCAGAACACCTCGTGGGTCACCTTAGACAGGTCAGAACACCTCGTGGGTCATCTTAGACAGGTCAGAACACCTCGTGGGTCACCTTAGACAGGTCAGAACACCTCGAGGGTCACCTTAGACAGGTCAGAACACCTCGTGGGTCACCTTAGACAGGTCAGAACACCTCGTGGGTCATCTTAGACAGGCCAGAACACCTCGAGGGTCACCTTAGACAGGTCAGAACACCTCGTGGGTCACCTTAGACAGGCCAGAACACCTCGTGGGTCACCTTAGACAGGTCAGAACACCTCGAGGGTCACCTTAGACAGGTCAGAACACCTCGTGGGTCATCTTAGACAGGCCAGAACACCTCGAGGGTCACCTTAGACAGGTCAGAACACCTCGTGGGTCACCTTAGACAGGTCAGAACACCTCGTGGGTCACCTTAGACAGGTCAGAACACCTCGTGGGTCACCTTAGACAGGTCAGAACATCTCTCCTAAACATAGTTACTTGATATAAGTGTTTCGCTGCTGCGATTTCATTTATTGCTGTTCCTGCTGGTGTTGCTGTTGTTGTTGTTGCTGGCGCGGAAGGTGGGGGGGGGGGGTGTGCAGTGCATGCGAGCGGGCGCGCGCGCGCGTGCACTGGTCAGCGCGAAAAGATGTTGAGGCAGCGTGGCCTTATTAGGAGGTGTTTTCCTCGTCTTGGACCAGCATCATCTTCTCTCCCCTCTCACCCTCTTCCCCTCTCACCCTCCCCTACCCTTAACGTCTCTCCCCCCACCCCTTCCCTACCTCCCCACAATCAACGTCCTCCAACACATTTGCCTCCTATCCACCCCTCCCCCCCAACACCCTTCCCCCCTCTCCACCCTCCCCCCTCTCCCCCTCCTGCACCCTCCCCATCCTCAGCCCCCCACACCCCCCCCCCTCCTCTCCCCTTGACTCAAGATGCAGAGGAATCTTAAGACCAGTTACCAGTAAGAAACACCTAACGACCCGACGACCCATATCGATTGCCTTGTTACCGGGAACGGAGTTGACGGTAAGTCTTTTACTCTCACCCCCCCTCCCCCCACCTCCACGGGGGTCTCTCCATCCACCACTCCGTAACAAATCGCAACGGTTTACTAGTCCCCCCCCCCCGCAATAAGGAGGGCCTGGCCGAGGACCGGCCCGCGGGGGGACATTGAGCTCCGAAATCATCCCGAGGTAAGGAAATAACGTCATTATTTCGGTGCAAATTTAACTTGTATTAATACGTCGTATTCTGAACGTATCGGTCGATTCGGTAAAAAAAAAAAACTGTGAGGTATTAGCACTGGTGCTGACCCCGGCGGGGGCAAGATAGTGCTATAAATATTTAGATGAAGGGCGGTGTAAACCGGTGTAAACCGCAGCGAGAGATTATACACGGGCCGGCGAATTGGGTCTCGAAATAGCTTATATTTAACACTGTCTCAAAATAGCGACCATCAGGTAAACCTCAGTGAGGTGTACCAGCCTTCAGGTAAACCTCAGTGAGGTGTACCAGCCTTCTGGTAAACCTCAGTGAGGTGTACCAGCCTTCTGGTAAACCTCAGTGAAGTGTACCAGCCTTCTGGTAAACCTCAGTGAGGTGTACCAGCCTTCAGGTAAACTTCAGTTCATCAATATCTTCAAGAGAAAACTAAATAGTTTTCTCCAATGAGTACCGGACCAACTGGGCTGTGGTGGATATGTGGGCCTGCGGGCCGCTGCAAGCAACAGCCTGGTGGACCAAACTCTCACTAGTCAAGCCTGGCCTCGGGCCGGGCTTGGGGAGTAGAAGAACTCTCAGAACCCCATCCAGGTACATTCCAGGTACAACGAATCAAAGCGTCGTTTTAAAGACGGTTAACGTGATTGGTCAGATGAGGGGGGGGGCTAATTTGCATGGTCTTCTGCCTGGCTTGGTGTATGTATGGCCGGCTGCCTGGCTTGGTGTATGTATGGCCGGCTGCCTGGCTTGGTGTATGAATGGCCGGCTGTCTGGCTTGGTGTATGTATGGCCGGCTGCCTGGCTTGGTGTATGTATGGCCGGCTGTCTGGCTTGGTGTATGTATGGCCGGCTGCCTGGCTTGGTGTATGAATGGCCGGCTGTCTGGCTTGGTGTATGTATGGCCGGCTGCCTGGCTTGGTGTATGTATGGCCGGCTGTCTGGCTTGGTGTATGTATGGCCGGCTGCCTGGCTTGGTGTATGTATGGCCGGCTGCCTGGCTTGGTGTATGTATGGCCGGCTGTCTGGCTTGGTGTATGAATGGCCGGCTGTCTGGCTTGGTGTATGTATGGCCGGCTGCCTGGCTTGGTGTATGTATGGCTGGCAGTCTGGCTTGGTGTATGTATGGCCGGCTGTCTGGCTTGGTGTATGTATGGCCGGCAGTCTGGCTTGGTGTATGTATGGCCGGCTGTCTGGCTTGGTGTATGTATGGCCGGCTGCCTGGCTTGGTGTATGTATGGCCGGCTGTCTGGCTTGGTGTATGTATGGCCGGCTGCCTGGCTTGGTGTATGTATGGCCGGCTGCCTGGCTTGGTGTATGTATGGCCGGCTGTCTGGCTTGGTGTATGAATGGCCGGCTGTCTGGCTTGGTGTATGTATGGCCGGCTGCCTGGCTTGGTGTATGTATGGCCGGCTGTCTGGCTTGGTGTATGTATGGCCGGCTGTCTGGCTTGGTGTATGTATGGCCGGCTGTCAGGCTTGGTGTATGTATGGCCGGCTGTCTGGCTTGGTGTATGTATGGCCGGCTGTCTGGCTTGGTGTATGTATGGCCGGCTGCCTATCTGGTATATGTATGGCCGGCTGTCTGGCTTGGTGTATGTATGGCCGGCTGTCTGGCTTGGCTTATGTATGGCCGGCTGTCTGGCTTGGTGTATGTATGGCCGGCTGCCTGGCTTGGTGTATGTATGGCCGGCTGTCTGGCTTGGTGTATGTATGGCCGGCTGCCTGGCTTGGTGTATGTATGGCCGGCTGCCTGGCTTGGTGTATGTATGGCCGGCTGTCTGGCTTGGTGTATGTATGGCCGGCTGTCTGGCTTGGTGTATGTATGGCCGGCTGCCTGGCTTGGTGTATGTATGGCCGGCTGTCTGGCTTGGTGTATGTATGGCCGGCTGTCTGGCTTGGTGTATGTATGGCCGGCAGCCTGGCTTGGTGTATGTATGGCCGGCTGCCTGGCTTGGTGTATGTATGGCCGGCTGTCTGGCTTGGTGTATGTATGGCCGGCTGCCTGGCTTGGTGTATGTATGGCCGGCTGCCTGGCTTGGTGTATGTATGGCCGGCTGCCTGGCTTGGTGTATGTATGGCCGGCTGCCTGGCTTGGTGTATGTATGGCCGGCTGCCTGGCTTGGTGTATGTATGGCCGGCTGCCTGGCTTGGTGTATGTATGGCCGGCTGTCTGGCTTGGTGTATGAATGGCCGGCTGCCTGGCTTGCCGGCTGGGTTATCTGGTTTGCCCCTCTTAGGGAACTTTTAAAGATTTTATAACTATCTTTTTTGAGAATGTTTACGAGCAGCAGCAATCCTTTGGGAGACACTGCTGGGACCCGCTGGGACCCGCTGGGACCTGCTGGGACCCGCTGGGACCCGCTGGGACCTGCTGGGACCCGCTGGGACCCGCTGGGACCTGCTGGGACCCGCTGGGACCCGCTGGGACCCGCTGGGACCCGCTGGGACCTGCTGGGACCTGCTGGGACCCGCTGGGACCCGCTGGGACCTGCTGGGACCCGCTGGGACACGCTGGGACCCGCTGGGACCCGCTGGGACCCGCTGGGACCCGCTGGGACCTGCTGGGACACGCTGGGACCCGCTGGGACCTGCTGGGACACGCTGGGACCCGCTGGGACCTGCTGGGACCTGCTGGGACACGCTGGGACCCGCTGGGACCTGCTGGGACCCGCTGGGACCCGCTGGGACCCGCTGGGACCCGCTGGGACCTGCTGGGACCCGCTGGGACCCGCTGGGACTTGCTGGGATTACACCGACGCTGGGAGTCCTGAACTATGGTTATATATATTTATATTTTGGTCTTCTGGGGCTCATCCTATATATATTATTAGGTCTTACTTTATGATGGGATTTCCAGCACAGCAGGCACCTAGCTGAGCGTGCTAGGAGTATGCTAGGACTACTGGAATGTTACCAGGGTTGCCTTATTTTACGTTACTGCTAGGATCAGTACACCCAAGGACAGTATGCTAGGATAACCACTGTCTGGTATGGGTGCTTGGCACCTCCTAGCGAGCTAGGATGGATACCCAGCGTGCTAGGTACGTCGTAGCCAGCATACCAATGTGCTAGGATGGATACTCAGCACCTCAGCGTGCTAGAATATGTACCTCACACATCCTGCTTGCTAGGGAGAGGTGCCTATAGCCCTCCAGAGGGTACCCGGATCACCCCTTGCTAGGATGGATACCTAGCACCCCAGCGCGCTAGGGCACGCTGAACACCACGGAAGCTCAGGAGAACATTAGCGTGTGTTTACTGCCTTTCCCGGGGAAGGTGCCGGTGAAGGTGTGTATTTGTAGAGGTGTTTAACCTTTGTTTATCACCGGAGGCTGCGTTGTCAGGCAAGGGAGGGGAGATGAGTGGAGGGAGAGAACAGGAGGGGAGGTAGAACAAGTAGAAGAACTTCTACTTCTTACCGGAGAGTTGTTCTAGTTCTCCAAGTTCTTCTACTCGGAGAGTAGAAGCTTCTCTCTTCTCATGCTTCTCGCATATGCTGTAAACTCTCACGGTGCATCTAATTTTCAACGGAAATATTAAAACTTCAAGCAGTCTGTCGCCCGAAATGGGGCTCTGGGAAATAAATGATGTGACCATACAATGGGATTGAACTCTCGCTTCTGAATGACCGCGGGAACACGTAGTATTCAGAAATACATCACGATCTTGCGATTTCATTGTGACTTCTTGGATCAAATGAGGATGCTATGGGAGATGTTCTTGTCCCCCATCTGGACACTTCTAGTTACCATTAGGTCTAAACAGCTGCGGTTCTCGTTGTGCCTCGCAACCAGCCGGGGCAAGGCTCCTCTTGATGATGTCGTCTACATTGGTGTATCTTGCATGCCTTCCCCACTGATCTGCGGCAAATGAGATCGTAGAGGCCTTATTGGATTGCCACTTTATTGCCGGAGAGTGTTTGATGACGGTAGGGGCAACAAGACGAAGGTCAGTACCAGTATGAAGAGTTAGCGAAGGAGAGATCTCAAGGCAGCGTTACGGACAGCAAATACAAAAATCCCTAACATGAGGAGCTGTCACCACTCGAAGGCTGGCACGCTCTCTCAGAACTCTTAAATAGCATTGTTGACTTGCTATTATTTTATGGGGCTATCCTAATCAGTTTATCATTGAGTTTTTTGGGATATACAGGGTGAAAAGGAGACAGTGTCATTCCACCAGCTTGCACCTTCGTTAAACTTGGGATCGCGAATCTCGCTTAATTTTCTCGTGTGATCTGGTATGATCATTCTCTATTAACTCACTGGCAGCTATGTACGAGAATCTGCATGTCCTTACGCATGCCTGTCCTGACTGACTGGCAGCGTTGCTTGGCGCCAGTGACTGGCAGCGTTGCTTGGCGCCAGTGACTGACAGCGTTGCTTGGCGCCAGTGACTGGCAGCGTTGCTTGGCGCCAGTGACAGACAGCGTTGCTTGGCGCCAGTGACTGACAGCGTTGCTTGGCGCCAGTGACTGACAGCGTTACTTGGCGCCAGTGACTGACAGCGTTGCTTGGCGCCAGTGACTGACAGCGTTGCTTGGCGCCAGTGACTGACAGCGTTGCTTGGCGCCAGTGACTGACAGCGTTGCTTGGCGCCAGTGACTGACAGCGTTGCTTGGCGCCAGTGACTGACAGCGTTACTTGGCGCCAGTGACTGACAGCGTTGCTTGGCGGCAGTGACTGACAGCGTTGCTTGGCGCCAGTGACTGACAGCGTTGCTTGGCGCCAGTGACTGACAGCGTTGCTTGGCGCCAGTGACTGACAGCGTTGCTTGGCGCCAGTGACTGACAGCGTTGCTTGGCGCCAGTGACTGACAGCGTTGCTTGGCGCCAGTGACTGACAGCGTTGCTTGGCGCCAGTGACTGACAGCGTTGCTTGGCGCCAGTGACTGACATCCAAGTTGAGGACCTGTGTGCATATTGATTTCAGGAGCGCGTCATATTATTTTAGTGAGCCTCCGGGCCAGTGAAGATCCGGTCCGGTGAGGATCAGAACCGGTGAGGATCCGGACAGAAAAGTATCCGAATAGGCAAGGTAGTGAAGCTCAAGACAAGTTTACTAATAAACTACATCAGTCTTATTGACTTACAGTCTTGCCCCGGAACAGTCCAGCGACCACACGACAACCTGTCAAGTTTATATAACAAAAACAGTCACTTTTGTATCAGCAATTAAAACAGTCAAAAAATATCTTGATAATATAACCCCATGCATGATTAACTCGGCGCTTGATAGTAATATGACCATGATTTGTGGTTCGAGAGATTGCTTTGAGAGGCGATGGCAGCCACGACAATGTGTAGGCATTTGTGAAGCTTGGGTTACAAGCAGGTTTTGTTTTTTTCCATTGACAGGGACAGGTTCTCCCACCTTTGCTGAGACCATGGGAGGGAGGGAGGGAAGTTCCTGCTTCAGTAGCTCCCTGATGGGAGAAGGATGGGTATGACGTCCTCCTGAATGTTGCTGTTGGACTCTGGTGCAGGAGCGTCCCCTTGCTCTCAGGGGAGCGCCCCCTTGCTCTCAGGGGAGCGCCCCCTTGCTCTCATGGGAGCGCCCCCTTGCTCTCATAGGAGCGCCCCCTTGCTCCCAGGGGAGGGCATTTCCGGGCCCCATTTAGCCCTCTTCTGTGGTCGGTTGAGCTTCGGTACTGGAGGTGACGGAATGCATGAGGGAGTTGTGGGGGTACTCGCCTAAATGTGCTTGCGGGGGTTGAGCTCGGGCTCTTTGGTCCCGCCTCTAAACTGTCAGGCAGCAGGTGTACAGGTTCCTGAGCCTATTGGGCTCTATAATATCTACATTTTGAATTTGTGTAATGGAGTCAGCCTTCACTACATCGCTTCTTAATGCATTCTGTTTGTTAACTGAAATTTTGATTGTGCCTACCTCATTTGGTATTCGGTTTACATGTGTGTGTTTCCCTCGTGCGTATACCAGCCATGCTAAGTAGTCTACCTTTATCTACCCTGTGAATTTCCCTGAGAATTTTGTATGTGTTAATCATGTCTCCCTTAACTTTTTGTCATCGAGCGACGTGAGTTAAATTCATGTAGCCTTTCATTTCAGTTCTGGGACTAATCTTGTGTCATACTTCAGAAGTTTATCTGACTTCGTCTTGTGCTTGACTAGATGTGATCTTAACACTGGGGCCGCATACTCCAAGATTATATATGTGATATACAAGATTCTGAATGCTTCTTTACACCAATTTCTGAAGCCAGTCTTACATATACAGCTCAAGATATTCTTTTGATGTGAGCTTCAGGAGACAGGTTCGGTGTGACACAGATCTTTCCTTCTACCCGTTTCCTGGCGGATTTGATCTTCCCTCTAGTAGCTTTTTGTCCGGCTTTCCGCTCGCTTTCCCAAGTGCCATTATGTTGCACTTGAGTTAAACTCGAGTAGCCACTTCTTAGACTATTCAGTTTGTCCAGGTCATCTTGTAGTCTCCTGCTGCCTTCCTTTGTCTTAATCTTCCGCACAGTTTTTGCATCAACAAACATTATGAGGAATGAGTCTAATCCCTCTGGAAGATCATTTGCATATAAGAGAAATATGATAGGTCCCTGTGAGCTTCTCCTAGCGGCTTCACCACCATTCTCAGATCTGACTCTTCACAGTGACTCGCTGTTTTCAGTGGCTTAGGTACTCTCTTATCCACTGGGGCACCTTCTCTGTCACTCCTGTCTGCCTCTCCAACTTGCACACTAGTCTCTTATGGGATAGTGTGTGTGCTCAACTAGTTGTCCTTCGGGCGTTGAGCTTTGGCTCTTTGGTCCCGCTTCTGTGTGTGTGTGTGTGTGTGTTCACCTAGTTGTGTGTGTGTGTGTGTGTGTGTGTGTGTGTGTGTGTGTGTGTGTGTGTGTGTGTGTGTGTGTGTGTGTGTGTGTGTGTTCACCTAGTTGTGTGTGTGTGTGTGTGTGTGTGTGTGTGTGTGTGTGTGTGTGTGTGTGTGTGTGTGTTCACCTAGTTGTGTGTGTGTGTGTATTCACCTATTTGTACTCACCTATTTGTGTCTGCAGGATCGATCATTGACTCTTGGATCCCGCCTTTCGAGCCATCGGTTGTTTACAGCAATGACCCTGGTCCTATCTCCCTATCATACCTAGTTTTAAAATTATGAATAGTATTTGCTTCCACAACCTGTTCCTGAAGTGCATTCCATTTCCCCACTACTCTCACGCTAAACGAAAACTTCCTAACATCCCTGTGACTCATCTGAGTTTCCAGCTTCCACCCATGTCCCCTCGTTCTGTTACTATTCCTTGTGAACATTTCGTCTATGTCCACTCTGTCAATTCCCCTGAGTATTTTATACGTTCCTATCATGTCCCCCCTCTCCCTTCTTTTTTCTAGTGTAGTAAGGCACAGTTCCTTCAGGCGCTCCTCATACCCCATCCCTCGTAGCTCTGGGACAAGTCTCGTTGCAAACCTCTGAACCTTTTCCAGTTTCCTTATATGCTTCTTCAGAGGGTGACTCCATGATGAGGCGGCATACTCTAAGACTGGCCTCACGTAGGCAGTGTAAAGCGCCCTAAATGCCTCCTTACTTAGGTTTCTGAATGATGTTCTAACTTTTGCCAGTGTAGAGTATGCTGCTGTCGTTATCCTATTTATATGGGCTTCAGGAGATAGATTAGGTGGATCTATCCACCTAATAGAAAGAGACGCCCAGGTCTCTTTCACGCGTCGTCACAGGTAGGCTGTTCCCCTTCATTGTGTATTGTCCCTTTGGTCTCCTATCTCCTAGTCCCATTTCCATAATTTTACATTTGCTCGTGTTGAACTCCAGTAGCCATTTCTCTGACCATCTCTGTAACCTGTTCAGGTCCTCTTGGAGGATCCTGCAATCCTCATCTATCACAACTCTTCTCATCAACTTTGCGTCATCCGCAAACATCGACATGTAGGACTCTACGCCTGTAAACATGTCGTTAACATATACTAGAAATAGAATTGGTCCCACCATCGATCCTTGGGGTACTCCACTTGTTACTGTTCGCCAGTCCGACTTCTTGCCCCTTACGTGTGTGTGTGTGTGTGTGTGTGTGTGTGTGTGTGTGTGTGTGTGTGTGTGTGTGTGTGTGTGTGTGATTGGGTAGGGGTGTAGGCGTATGAATGTCTTTTGTCGTCCACCTCCATCACCTGCAACAGGTAAACGGGTTCTCCCCCTCCCCGCCCCATCCCCCCCACTCCCCCTCCCCGCCCCATCCCCCCACTCCCCCTCCCCCAACTCCCCCCCCCCTCTACCCACGACCTGTCATATCGTCAACACCTGCGCAGTTCTCTTCTGCACAGGTGTTTTCGCGGCTGCATGAACCGTAATTAGAAAAAGCCAACTGTACATTTGGTCTCTGAACATGTTACCACTGTACTACCTGTAATTAATGTGTCGAGACAGCCCCTACCTGGGTTATTAACTTGGGAGACTTGAGTGTATAGATAGTGCTCGCAACCTGTCTTAAGTCTGCCCAGCTCACTATAAGTAGTTAGCACTAGACGGAGTATATATAGTGGCCTGTATTTAGAAGGTTAGGATTCGGTGGGGGCCCCTGGCCTTGAGTTGTGGTCTGTGTGTGTGTGTGTGTGTGTGTGTGTGTGTGTGTGTGTGTGTGTGTGTGTGGGAGGGGAGGATTGTGTGTGTGTGTGTGTGTGGGAGGGGAGGATTGTGTGTGTGTGTGTGTGGGAGGGGAGGATTGTGTGTGTGTGTGTGTGTGGGAGGGGAGGATTGTGTGTGTGTGTGTGTGGGAGGGGAGGATTGTGTGTGTGTGTGTGTGGGAGGGGAGGATTGTGTGTGTGTGTGTGTGTGTGTGTGTGTGTGGGAGGGGAGGATTGTGTGTGTGTATGTGTGTGTGTGAGAGAGGGGAGGATTGTGTGTGTGTGTGTGTGTGTGTGTGTGTGTGTGTGTGTGTGTGTGTGTGTGTGTGTGTGTGTGTGAGAGAGAGAGAGGGGGAGGATTGTGTGTGTGTGTGTGTGAGAGAGAGAGGGGGAGGATTGTGTGTGTGTGTGTGTGTGTGTGTGTGTGTGTGTGTGTGTGTGTGTGTGTGTGTGTGTGTGTGTGTGTGTGTGTGCTGGGGATTTGTGTGGGGAGGGGGAGAGAGGGGGAGATAGATGTTATTGCATTTTGCAATCTTGATTTTTTTTGTTATAATTTCAGATGTAATACTAAATGGAGGTAAATAGGAAAAATGTTGATAATACTTAAATAGGGTTTGAGAAGGTGGTTAATAATTGCACATGACCAAAACCTGCGGTTGTAATCTTGATCGTGTTGCTCGGGCCGTTCTCAGAGCGACTGTGACTTATCATGCAGACATCTTTATCCCCCCTCCCCCCCCCCATGTGCTCCCTCCCCCCCCCATGTGCCCCCTCCCCCCCCATGTGCCCCCCCTCCCCCTTGTGCCCCGTCCCCCCCCCCCCTCCCCCATGTGCCCCGCCCCCCCCCTCCCCCAGAAAGCACAATGCTGGCCTTTCTTACAGCCCCGCCCACGCCCTCCACCTGCTGCTGCTGCTTCTGGTACTGCTGCTGCTCCTGGGCCCCGCCTTTCTAAGTAGCTTCGATAGCAGTCTGTCGCTGTCACCTAATACATTGTATTTTTTACGGAATTGAACAGTTAGTTAATGCAACGTATTAATTCATATTAAAGCACCATATTAGAGAGAGAGAGAGAGAGAGAGAGAGAGAGAGAGAGAGAGAGAGAGAGAGAGAGAGAGAGAGAGAGAGAGAGAGAGAGAGAGTCCACCTTGACAATAAATATACAAATATCTTAATATATCTTTAACAGGTATTCATAATTTATTTATATAGAATTTTTGCCAAGGTCGAAATTGCATATTTGGTGGTGTCCGCCCTGAAGATGTGTTCTCGGTGGTCTATTTATCTATCAGGACTTAACTAGGAGTGTGTACTGGGGGAGTGAGGCTGTAGCTCCTGTGACCCGCCTACTAGCCTTGTAACTGTTGCCTTACGACTTAACTATTCTCAGGTGTCGAATCTGGCCATAAAGTTGTGGATGGAGGTGGCTTCCACAGCTGCTTCTTTCTGTCCATCCCACTTGTTGACCACCCGTACAGGGAACCAGTAGTTCCTTATGTTCCTTACACTTCTGTGTGTTTCCAGCGTGCTCTCTGTGTCCTCTTGTCCTGTTTTTTCTCAATTTGAAGAGGCTATCATTGTCCTCCTTGTCTATTCCCCTCAGTATCTTGTATGTTGTAATCATATCCCCTCTGTTCCTTCTATCCTCTATGGTTGAGATTTTTTTCTTTCATTGGCCTGTACTTGTAGCTTAACCCTCTTAGCTCTGGCACCAGTCTTGTTGCACAGCTTTGTAGGATACTGATTTAGGTTTGAAAACGCTGTTCATATATTTGCCAGCGTCCCATATGCTGCTGATGCTATCCCGTTTGCGTGAGTCTCTGGTGTGAGTGTTGGGACTCGCTCTCACACCTTTCTCTTAGTCCTGTAGATGCCTTCTCTCTATGGTGTAGCTGGTTTCTGGTCTCCACTCTTCCGTTCCTATCTTCATAAGCTTGCACTTGTTAGGATGGAATTCTACCAACCATCTGATTGCCCACTCCTGTAACTTTGTGCAGTGTGTGTGTGTATATACTCACCAAGGTGTTGTGCTTACGGGAGGGTTGAGCTTCGGCTCTTTGGTTCCGCCTCTCAACTGTCAGTTTACTGGTATACAGGTTCGTGTGTGTGTGTGTGTGTGTGTGTGTGTGTGTGTGTGTGTGTGTGTGTGTGTGTGTGTGTGCGCACGCGCGTGTGGGGGTGGGGGGGAGTTAAATGCAGCTTTTTATGCCTTCTTTTGAATTGTTACCAACTCAACTTTCCATACCGCCTATCAAGGCCGCTAGAACATTTTTTAGTGTGCATTCAGGAAGCTTTTGGTTGTGGTAATTGGGTAAAATTGGATGATAATAGAGTAGGCGAGGTATGGAAAACCTATTTCTGCATGTTTATGTTATTCTTCGCTAAATTGGTGGTAATAAAAGAGTGGGAGGGGGAGAGGGGGGGGGTGAGAATGGGTTATTTTTCCCATCACCTCCCCGCCCCCCTCCCCGCCCCCCTCCCCACCCCCAAATTCAAACCCCAGCCCCCCTAAATTTCAGACCCTCCCCCCCCCCCTACCCCTCCCATTCTACCGTCTTCTAATCTCATCTATTGTACGATTTCTTGCTCTATCACTTTCCAATATCTCTCTCTCTCTCTCTCTCTCTCTCTCTCTCTCTCTCTCTCTCTCTCTCTCTCTCTCTCTCTCTCTCTCTCTCTCTCTCTCTCTCTCTCTCTCTCACAGGTCCACAGAGAGACCATTACCAATGACCATACCATAGGGAGCTTCCTGCTCCTCCTTGTACTCTTGTGTTATTTATGTACTGATACGTGTCAAGAGGCCCCAGTACCTCCTGGTGTGGCTCTCGTGGTGTGGGGTGCCTCTACCGTGGCCCCCTGTGTCACACCATGGTGTGGGGTGCCTCTACTGTGGCCCCCTGTGTCACA